ATATATATAATTTATAAGCTGTCTATTATGCTCACAATATAAATGAAATAATTTAATTTTATAATGTCATCTTTATATTAATAAAGAATTTTATTTCATCACTATTAAATTCTTATATAAAACTTTTGTAATAATTTTATTTCATAACACTATAAACTTAAATTATTTTATTATTAGTTATAATATCCTTTATTAACTCGTATAATTTGAACAAATAAAATAAAATAATTTTATAATATTATATTTCATGTTGGTTGAATCATATCTTATATTACATATATTACAATTATATTATTATATTTACATGTGATTAAAAAAAAATTTTTTTGGCCCCCACTTAAATTTTGGTCAAGCTTCATCCCTCGTCCGATTGTTCCACTCCGTCACCGATCATCATCAACACAAACTATGATTTAACAATTATCATCCATTTTCAGTCAATCAGCCGAAAAATTATCAAGGGGAAAAACAAAAATTCCAATCAAATAAGAGACTGGTGATGAGGAAAAAAAATGAGGGTTTTACTTTGAGAGGAAGTGAAAAAGAGGAAGCTAAGTTTAGTGATCCTCTGAATTACATTAGCAGGCAATGAAGTTTGGTTTCTTAAAATAATAATTTATCTGAATATGATATTAACAGTGTAGAATGTTGTTAACCAAGCCGGTATGAACATATGTTAAGCATATAATTATTTTATTTTTTAAATATTAATCAGTATTAAAAAAATAAAAATTAATATTTAATTAATTAATTATTTAATTAAAATATACATATAACAATAGTAATAAAATTAATATCAATTTTTATTTTTTTAATATTAATTAATGTTAAAACTATACAATAATTATGTTATTAACATATATCCTAAAAATACATATTAAAAAAACCCTTAATCTAAATCAAAAACATTATTCGTACCTATTTGGAAAGATGCTTTACGTGTAAGTTTGAAATTTTGAGGGGTTGATTCTTACGATCTTAAAGCTAAATACCTCAATGTGTTAATTTCACTTGATTAAGCAAATCTTAGATCCAGATTTTCATTTTTGATTTTTGGGTTACAGCTATTTTTGTTTCTTTATGTGAAGTTGAATTTTTTTTCTTTAAAGAATATAAAAAGATGAGAGCCTTGCTCGTTGAAAGAGACAAGACAAAGGCAAGGCACAAGAAATAGCAACTTCATATGGAGCCTCCTTCTACTGGTCAATGGTTAATTATATATTTCGACGTTACATTTAAATCAAAAGGTTAATTTTATAATTTCATGAGTCTTAACATATTTTAATTTTTTTTTTTTTATGTGAAATCTTAGTTATTCACACTCACAAAAAAAAACATACTTCAATATATATATATATATATATATAATAAAGGAACTTTTAACCTTAAAGAGTCCTAAAGCATTCTAGTCCCACCATAATTATTAAAATAATAAAAAAATATATAAAAAGATAGCAGTTGAAATTAAGTTAATTAAAATTAACATCCTAAAATTGACCATTTTTCAATTCCTTAATCCTGATGTTTTAGAAAAAGTGGTTGATTCCCTCTTTCAGTTCTTTATAATTCAACAAAAGCATTCTCCTCGTTGGCCCAAAAACCAAAATTAGAAAAAAATAATAATAAAGAATACGAAAGAGAGTAGTTGAAAGTGAAAATGCCATCCAAAAACACAACACTATTATAATAATAAAAAATACAAAAGAGAGTAGTTGAAAGTGAAAATGCCATCCAAAAACACAACACTAAGGAAAAGCATAGTCCTTTAATCCTCGTCATTCCTACAATTCGTCAAATGAAAATCACTATGAAAAAGGAACACAGTTCATTACTAAACCATATAGCTCAAAAGTCTCGTGAGAAACTACAATTCGTCAAATGAAAATCACTATGAAAAAGGAACACAGTTCATTACTAAACCATATAGCTCAAAAGTCTCGTGCGAAACTACAATTCGTCAAATGAAAATCACTATGAAAAAGGAACACAGTTCATTACTAAACCATATAGCTCAAAAGTCTCGTGAGAAAAAAAGTGTTAAGTAATTTAAATTGTATCAAATTACATAATATTAATTATTAAAT